AAAAATGGAACAAAAGGCTCCCACTGAGAATTTCCTCGAACAACCTAGACTTTCGAGTAAAAGTTCAGCTCAGGCTCTTTTAATGGATTTGCCGCTTCTGGAGAGACCTCCGTCATGACCCAAAGGTACTCGAAGAGAAGTTTTGGAGGAGGTTCATTAGTGGTTTGAAATGATTTTGAGAACAGCGAAAAATTTAAGATTAGCTTACCGCCATATCGGCTGGTCAATGTGGATTACAATGAGGGGCTAGAGCCTCGACTGGAGCATTTTTCGGAACACTTTCTTTGCACCCATCTCAAATGGACGTCCTTAAAACGTAATCCATCTGGGATAAAACTCGACACGAGGACTTCGGGTGGTAGATTGGCCACCATATCCAAAACCACAATCCATTCGGAAGTGTAGGGGTGTCGTGGTTTGCTGTCTCTTCGTCATTGAACGGCTCAGTAACGCCACATGTAATCTATAACATTGGTAAATAGCTGACTGTAACAGATCGACGAGACAAGAAGCCTGGTTTAGAGGTTGCTGCATATCTGAGTTTATCAGAAGCTTCGGTAGGCCTACTGGTTTTCGTTCCTATAATGTTCTATTTTTTGAATGCCCACATAATACTTTTGGTACAGAGGAAGTACATAACTCCATCAATAGAAAAATCAAAACTGCTTGATAAGTGGTTAGAATTAAATTGTGAGTTCTCGCGTATAAAAAATAGACGGGGGCGGTCTCGTGAGATGATGCAGATGTCAACAGTTTCTCGATGAAGGGAAATTTTGAAGTGTCTCCTACTTTAGATACGTACTGATAGCATTTTTTGATTAGTAGGATAGCAGAATATCGGTTTATGAAGTGCATATTTATAAAAGACTACACGATACCGAAACATTCCCTAAGATTTTTTTACAAAGCAGTTAAACGCCAAGAATTCTCTCGCAAGCACTGAAGTCTCAAAAGGGATCTGAAAAGGTGAGCTATAGAGTTAATTGCTGTTAACACTGTAATGCAAACTATTCAAGTCATACAAATCATAGAGCTAAAGGCAGTAGTCAATTATGTATTCATGAATTTTTTGTGCCACATTTACTTCTGAGCATGAAGAAGTCGTTTACGAAGCACATCAAATGCGCTTCTCTTACGACGATACCCGCTCGCCTCTACGGTCGCTTCTGGAACAGGTTCCTGTGTAACTGTTGCAACATTCTCTTCTTCCACGGTCTGCTGGACTTCAGTAGGACCTTCAGACGGTGCAGGTGTAATCATCTCGTCACCATATGTGTTGCTTCCACGCTTCGAAACTAAATAAACTAACCGTTAACAATTTTATTTGATAATTGTATGTCGCTTTGTGACGTTTTGTGTACATGTACCAGATATCTGTGCATTACACACATACAATATGTGCACCTTTCAACAGCGTCCTTCCATAACCTTGTAGTCGCAAAATACACCGGCAGTGAACACACAAATTGTCATAGGAGGTTTATTTTGCACAAAAAATATTACCGAGCATTTAGAACCAAAATGAAATTTATACTCGATATCGGTGAGTTGGGGTGGGCGTGTCACCGGAAGTGACGTGCACTTGATAGAAACTATGTGGATAAGCTGCTTCCAACATACATCGCTGGATATCAGCAAAGCATGCTGGCAACAGCTTATCCACGCACTTCTATCAAGTGCACGTCACTTCCGGTGACACACCCACCCCAACTTTCGGATATCGACTGTATGTCAGTTGCGATTTCTTATCTAAAAATATGAATTCATGGTATGACCTTAATTAACGAGCTTTTCCCATCAGGTTGTTCGCTTTATTTTGACCAACGGAATTCTTGGTATAAGTGAGACTGAAAAGTGTGAATTTCACAAAAAAAACATCATACTTAATAG